AGTTCCACAGGAGATTCAGGTAGCAATTCATGGGGACGGGGGCACACAGACACCCCCACACACACTCCAGCCTGGGAGTCCCACCGGAGGTATACTAATTATCCACACCTCACAAACAATACTCCAGACACGGAGAATAACTGGGAGCATACTCACAACTCACAACATGCAAGAGAGCAGGCAAAACAGAGGGGAAACATGTCCTTTGCTGAAATGGCTCATAGAAGGATGTCCCCAAGCATAAGGGCTAACAGGGAAGCATCCCTAGACCCTAACACTACAGAAAGGAGCCAGGAAAACCACACTCCGTCAAGAAACACGGAGATGAGTTCAGAGGGGTTGGAAAACTCCATAGGCGGTAGGTCAACCACGTGTAGCGATCAACAGAGTTCTGACTTCTCAAGCCTAAGAGACGGGCAGGAAAGTCAAACAGAAGTCACAAGACAACCACAGGGCAATTCACCTAGTGTGGGAAGCAATGGGGAAAACACTATAGGTTCCCCAGGTCCGAGAAGGTCGCTCAGGGTCAAAGGCCCTCCCAAATACCTTGCAGATTACGTAAGGTGAGCATGTCAATTGCAATAACTGAACTAGAGGTGCTGGCTGGTTGACTCTACGTAAACGATGTGGGGCTATTGGGTCTCTGTACGACGGAACAGTCCCACATCTTACACACACCGTGTGACTTAACTCAATATTTAATTATATAACCATCACTATGATGGCGTCCATGTGGGCGCCGTATTATTTCATCTAGGGGAGAGGGGTGTTGTGTCCTGAGCCTGCAAAAGCAGGCTCGGGACGTTGCAAGAGTCCCGGGCATTTGCAAAAGCTGCCTGGGACCAGACTGGCACCGGCCTTGCGCACATGCGCAAGGCGGGAAAAGACTGCCTTATGATTGGTTGGATTTGCCCGGGGATCAGAAGGTATAAATAGAGGCCTGCGTGCCTCTGCTCGGGTTGTTCGTAGATTGGAAGCAGAGAATAAAGACTTGTTAGAAATGCTTCGTCTCAAGCGCCATTATTCTCCGGACTTAACAGTTTTAATAGTATTTCCACCATTAAGCATGGATTTCAAGACTTTCCTTATGCTTTCTGTATATTCTTTGGTTATACTGTATTGACCTCCAAGTGTCTAATGCTATCTGATTGTTGGAGTCCCAGATGTTTATAAATATCCTCTGTGGTGAGACTTAGTTTGTTTTCAACTGGCATTTTAATTCCATCACTTTTTAACCAATTTTCAGTTCAGGAGATGGTATAGCGATGGAAAAACATAAATCTCTCAGGTTTCCTTGGTGGCAGCTCTCCCAGATATCAGGCAGGACAGGTTGATGTTCTCTTCCCATTTCCTCTCTTTGTAAGAGCAGATCCCCAGCCTCTCTCTCCACAGCTGCATTATTGGTCCTGCTTGCCTCCAAGGCAGAGGACTGCTTGACCTGACAAGCTCCCAAGTATAACAGTATATCCCTGCCCTGTTCTCCTTTGGGCTGGAGAAGGAGGATCCTACCTTTCAGGAAAGCCTCTTCATTGTCTTTCTGTATCAGAAGGTACGGTGGGGAGTCAGGAAAGCATGGGAGCATCACCAACTGGATTGTGGCTGTGAGCCCACTAAAAGCCAACAGCAGGGGCCACAAGGACTCGGAGCCCAAAATTTCCCTGCAGAGGAAGGAAGAACATAAGGGAAGGCTTTGGTTTTTCTCCACCAGACCTTATTTGCTCACTACATTAGTCACCACACTCTGCAAATCTCTGCAGAGTCAAGGACTCTTGGCATGAATACTGGATTCCCCCTGCAGATTTTACTTTGCTGGTCATTGATGACTACAGGGACCGGTGCTCATCTCCATTTCAAGGCCATTGCGCCAGCGCTGTCTGAAGACATTTCACGGTCATGTTGCCAACATGACGTCACAGAGCACTGCTATCTTCCCACCAAAGTGGAACCTATTTATTTATCCTATCACATGGAGCTTGGGTCTTGAATCTGGGTTGCTGGCTTTCCAGCCAACCAGCCCGGTGTCTTAACCACTGAGCCAATGCACCACCAGCATGGGGGGGGGGATTATGCAATCTTCTTCCCTATCCTTGGAAGAAAATTCCTCCTCCAAGACTCTTGGGACTGAATGGCATTTAAAATTTAAATCAAAATAGATAATACAGATTTGTTTAAACAGCGAATAATCTGTCTAATTATCAGCCAACGTGAAGGTAATATTTTTATTATGCTATTTTAAAAAGTGGGAATAGGATTTGAGGTTTTCCGCTGGAAAGTCACTCTTATTGTAAGCAATGCAAGACCACACTGCTTGGCCTATTTGAAATTCTGTAGAATGAAATTGCATCCAAAAAGGTGGAAACTTGAGATTCTACAGTTTATGTTCCTGAGTTTACCATAACATTTTCAAAATATTTTTGCCTCATCTGTATCTGTATCATTTATTTTTAGAGGAAAAAAGAGATGGCTGATCAAATTTCAATTGTACAACAATTATCAAGATAATGAATAATCCAGTTCATGTCATAATATTTTCACATCTTCAGGTTCAATGCTCCAGTTTCAACTGAAATGAAAAATTGTGAAATTGAATCTTAAATTAAATGTTTACTTCAGACATCTGGTGATTTAAATGGCTTTCACTGAGTGTGTTTTGGAAAGGGACTTACCCAAGACCAATGATTTGTCCTGCAACTTTGCCGAGTGTCAGAAAAATGGCGACTGTGGCATTTGTAAATCCCCGCAACTTCTTTGGTGAAATCTCTCCCACATATTGAGGATGTATATTGAAAGAAAACCCTTCAGAAAGGAAAAGGGTGGCAAAGAAGAGTATTGAAAATTGGCCAGCATGTCATCTAAGAGGTCATGTCATTAAAACCATCTTACATTGCAGAGAGGCATTACTGAGTTATGGGCAATTGAATGAGAAGGATTACAAATGAATCAGAAGGGAAGAAAGAGAGAGGGAGAGGCCTGTGTCAAGAAGGACGCTGAGTTAACCACTCTTGAATCAGCCTCTCCTCTAAAACATTGTATCACAGCAGAATTTTGCCCATATACCAATCCCATATAGCTACCAATGCCAATCCCATATAGAAGGCGTCCAAGGAGGATCATCTCAAAAGATTTGGCCATCTTACTGAACCCCATGAACAGGGCAGCAGTCAGCATGATCAGGTTGGTGAGCATCTGGCACTTCTTTCTGCAACAGAAGGGGGGGATGTGAGAGACAGGCATTTTCAACTCTATCAGCAGCACACATTGGATTGTTTTCGGTTTCTATTGAAATATGAACTTTTATAATTTTCAGAGCAATTCGTCAGGGCAGCACACTGTATCCATGCAAGAGGATGTGCTTGCCTTAAGTACAGCTGACTCCTGCACTCCCAAATGAAGGAGGAGAATGCTAACCACCAGCAAAGGAAAAACAGTGCTATTCAAGTTCTGTTTCTATTTAATCAAAACCAAGTCTTTCCCTAGGAAGCTGTTGAAGAGCAGGATGGAGGGGCAAGATGGAAGCATAATCGATGTCACCATATACAGGTAGTCTTTGGTTAATGACCGTAATTGGGACTCAATTTTCCATCACTGAGCAATGTAGTCATAAAATGCAATGGCAATCCCAGCACTCCCCCTTATCATTATTAAGTGAGGATCGAGTGGTTAAGCGAGGATCTCCTGACAACTTCCTGCTGGCTTGCAATGAGCAAGATCAGTGGGGAAGCTGGCAGGAAGAGGCAGATCCCAGGTAGCCCACAAGCAGATGGGCGGAGGTAGGAGGCTGCCAGGTGCAAGAGAGGGTATGAGGGCTGGCAAGGTGTCATCTGAGTGGTTTGAGGCTTGGGGTGGCTGCTGCAGGGTACAGGAGGGGCCAGTGAGGAGAGGTAGCCTGAGTGCTGCCGGGGCTGTGGGAGGCTGCTGCAGAGGGAGGGGGAACTTACTTGAGTGACTTGTGAAATGTGAGTGCTGGGGGCTGTAACTGTTCTAAGTACGAGCCAGTTGCCAAGCACCCTGTGTGGCTGCTGGGGAGGCCAGAATTTTGAGGACCCCTTGTAAGTACCACTCATGTAGCAGTATCGTAACTTTGGTGGCTGAATAAGTGGTTGTTAATCAAGAACTACACATAAGGAGGGTTCAGATGCACAGAGTCCTTGACTGAAAACAACAAATGAGCCCCAAATCTCCATTACTAAGCAAGGTACTCACTAAGTGAGTTGCACCTCATTTTACAACCTTGTTCTGCCATAGTTGTTTAGTGAATCACCGTAGTTGTTCAGTGAATCATGCAGTCATTAAGCAAATCTGGCTTCTCCCATTGACTTTCCTTGTTGGAAGCCAGCTGGGAAGGTTACAAATGCTGGTCATGTGACCCCGGGACAGTGCAGCCATCATAAATACCTGCCAGTTGCCAAAGTTTTGATCCTGCGACCATGGGAATACTGCAACAGTTGTAAGTGTGAAAACCAGTTATAAGTCACTTTTTTCAGGGTAACTTTGAATGGTCATTAAAATGGCTGTAAGTCGAGGACTATCTGTAATCTCAGGTTTACAGAAGGACAAGAAGGAAAATCGAGAGAGATTGAAGGCCCTGGAAATATTTAACGTCAAGGAAGGAGTATTGCAGGGCAGCACTGTGACCACCATCTTGACTTTTAGTTTTACTGTACCATGTGAACACACTGAATAGGGCGCCAAATGGCTACAACCAAGGTACAGTTTCAAACATTTTGAATATTTGGTACTTGGAGATAAGAAGTAAGGGCTACACTGTACACAGATCTAACTAGAGAAGAAGTTACTTTCTATATTTTGTGGTGAGGTATCCACAACAGATACTCCCTACGAGTCCTCCAATCCCGTAACTGGATACTATGAAGGACCACAACAAGATAACATTCTCTTGAGGCAGTGGTGAGCCATGTCGTTCCAGCCAGGTCTCATTAATGAATTTTTTAATATGCTGTGGATAAAGAAAATGCATTCATTTTACAGTTAATAAGTTTCTTCGCTTTTTCACATGAGTTTACCTCTCAGCCACCCCAGCACAAAGCCCCAGCCATGCCACCACTCTGGGCATCCCAGGTCCCGGAACTCCCGGATGAGCGGCCTTCTGTGCCCCTGGCTGAAGCGCCAATGTTTGGACTGAAGAAAAAGCCCATAGAAAGGAAGGGGCACTATCACTTACCTTGGAAGGATAGTTTATTACAGAAATGTGAAACCCATAAGGGAAGCTGCCCCCTATTCCCAGCACGAGGATCATTTGGAATAGTCCCCGGTATTGAATCTGGAAAGAGAAAACACATTAAGGGAACACCAGTTTCCTACCAAAGCTGCATCCTCAAAGTTACCTCCTCCCTTTCTCACACCTGTGCACACAACTCAAGAGAGGGGAACGGACATCCATAAGGCTGGATTGCAGCATAGAATAACGTGCAGCTTCTCTGAGCAACTCCAGGGGAAGGTGCCAAGTCAGCTGCCTCCCCCCCAATCAGACTGAATCTCCTTACAACCTCTGTCCAGCTGGAGAGTTCTCAGGCCTTCCACCAATGAAATCTCCCCTCTGGAACAAAGAGAAAAGTGTTCTGGGATCTTCCCGCTGAGAGCTCAGAAATACAGAACTGAACCTCCACATGCCAATGTCAAAGTTCCAGCTGAAAAGCCCAACAAAGCAAAACACCAGAGACATTGTGGTCTCTAATGTAAACTTTATTAGGCATATCACACCTGCAAGTTAAAAGGAATACCAGCACTGGCAATATGGCGGGAAACAGATAATTAAAAGAGTAAAACTTTCCCTCCTTTTTGTGACAGTTCAGGTCACATTGTCCAATTAATCTTCCAGCAATTGTTATGGGAAGAAACTTCGGTTTGCCAAAACATCTCCTCAGTGGCTTCAGCTCTCATGCTGATAAGGAACACCTGTGGATCCCAAGCTCTTCCCTCTCCCCCCCTTTAACTGTAGGCAAGCTAGAAGCACAACAGCAGTCCTAAAGACAGTAAATTTTGTAGCTTGACAGGCTGGCCCCCCAGAAAGGAGGGGGAACCTGGAAAATGAAAAGGAATACACATCATTGCTTATTAATCCTTCCTTTGTACTGGTCCCGGCTTCTGGGGGTACTTAGCATGGAATCATTTTATCAAACAATCTGCTCTTACATGCTGGGCTTTTACCCATCTAGCTTCTGACATCAGATAACCCTCCCACTGGATTAAGTACTGAAATTTCTCTTTCTGGATTCTAGAATCGAGGATTCGCTTAACCTCATAATGTGTTTCCTCTTCTACCATTATTGAGCCTGGGGCTGCCTCCCCCACTGGCCTCATTGTGGATTCCCTGTATGGCTTCAGCAAACTGCAGTGGAATACACTTTTCTCAACAATCTTAGTTGTTTTAGCTCTACTGTCACTGGGTTAATGATTTTACGAAGGGGAATTTTGGCCCTAACTTTTTGCAATTTTGTCTCAACTTAAGATACTTAGTAGACAGATACACTTTATCTCCTACATAGAATGTTTCCTGGGGAGCCCATTTTTTATCTGCTTTCCCCCCCTGGTTTTCAGATGCCTTAAAGTTGTCTTAGCATCGCTCCAGACCCATTGGAACGAACCCCCCCCAGTCACTTAGGGTGCTCGAGGAGGGGGGCTTCTGTGGGCACTCTACTATTGGCACAAATTCCATCCCTGTGGCTAACTTAAATGGGGTGAAACTGATGCTGCTGTGTACTGCATTGTTATACACTACCTCTGCAAAAGGCAAAAGCTCTGCCCAGTTTGTTTGCTGGTAGTTGACATAGCAACACAGGTACTGCTCCTCTATTGCATTAGCTCATTCTGCAGATCCATTCGTACTCAGATGGAAAGCAAAACTGAACCCCTGGGAGGACCCAATCATCCTTACAAACTCCCTCCAGAAGTTAGCAGTGAACTGGACAAGGTGCAGAGAAGAGCAACAAAGATGATTAGGGGACTGGAGGCTAAAACATATGAAGAACGGTTGCAGGAACTGGGCATGGCTAGTCTAGGGAAGAGAAGGACCAGGGGAGACATGTTAGCAGTCTTCTAATATTTGAGGGGCTGTCACAGAGAGGAGGGGGTCAACCTATTTTCCAAAGCACCTGAAGGCCAGACAAGGAATAACGGATGGAAACTGATCAAGGAGAGATTCAACCTGGAAATAAGGAGAAATGTTTTGACAGTGAGAACAATCAACAAACGGAACAGACTGCCTTCAGATGTTGTTGATACTTCATCACTGGAGGCTTTCAAGAAGAGACTGGACTGCCATCTGTCAGATATGGTATAGGGACTCCTGCTTGGGCAGGGGGTTGGACTATATCAGACATGTCAAACTCGTGACATCACATGATGTTGCGTGACATATCAGGACTGTTTTGTCATTGACAGCAATGGGGTGGGCCCAGCTTCCATGTGACGCATCCAGCCCATGGGCCGGCAGTTTGACATCCCTGGACTAGATGACCTACAAGATCCCTTCCAACTCCTTTATTCTATTCTATTCAATCCTGGCCCTCTAGAATAAGGCTCTCCTTGAGATCCAGAAGGCCCATACTCTGCTGTTGTTTAGACTTTAGGGGAGCCATGAACCTGGCTCTTCATCCAGGTCTTTGGCAAGGAAAAGTGGGGTCCTTTGCTTCATTTCCAGTCTATCATTCTTGCCATCTTTTATTTCTTTCTTTTTTTCCTCCTTTGATTTTATTGTGATTTCTTTCCTTTGAATGTTTTGAGCCGCTTAATAGAATAGAATACAGTTGGAAGGGACCTTGGAGGTCTTCTAGTCCAGCCCAAGCAGGAGTGCCCATACCATCTTAGACAAGTAACTGTCCAGCCTTCTCTTAAAAATCTCCAGTGATGGAGCACCCATGATTTCTGGAGGCAAGCTGTTCCACTGGTTAATTGTCCTCACTGTCAGGAAGTTTCTCCTTAATTCCAGGTTGCTTCTCTCTTTGATCAGTTTCCATCCATTGTTTCTTGTCCTGCCCTCTGGTGCTTTGATGAATAACGTGATCCCTCTCTTCTTTGTGAGAGCCCCTCAAGTACCAGAATACTGCTATCATTTGCCTCGTTTCTTCTTTTCTTTAGACTAGCCAAACCCAAGTCCTGCAGCTGTTCTTCATATGTTTCAGTCTCTAGGCCTTTAATCATCTTAATTGCTCGTCTCTGAATTTTTTCCAAACTCTCAACATCTTTTTTGTGATATGGTGACCAAAATTGGCTGCAGTATTCCAGGTGTGGTACTAGGATTTTATAAAGCGGTACTAATACTTTGCATGATCTTGATTCTATGCCTCTGTTTATACAAACCAGGTGTCATGGTTCCGACAGATGAAACTCTTCAAATGAACTTCGAGGCATTGTTTACCTTAAAGAATTTTTTATTCGAGAAAATATCAGCACTACATAGTTGAAACCAGAAAATATAATTCCCCTCCCGTGGATACAAAGTAACAAAGTACATGTCAACGCTGCTAATATTGAATATTCTTGCTTTGACAAAATATGCAGAATTGTCTGGTACTTTTAGAGTTAATTCAGATGAGAATGAGAGAGGAGAGAAAAGCGCGTGGAAGGGAACAGAAGTGAATCTTTGCCCTCCAGGCTAATTGGAAGATGTGAATCATGACCCCAAAACAGGGGAGGGGGAATGCCTGGAATGTTATGTGCGAAGGAAGGGAAATTCAGATCTTGGCATTCTCCATGCCGTGCTGACACTCCTTTACACTAATAAAGGCTTTTTAGGTTAAACAATGCCTGAAAGTTCTTTGAAGTGATTCATTAGTCAGACACATGACATCATGCCAAGATCCACAAATTTTTTAAACCAATTAAGGGGTCCTGAACCCCGGTCACTATTCCTAAACTAAAGGGATAGACTGACAAAGATTTGGGGAAGATCTCATTATGGAAGGGGAAAGATGGCTTGAGGCCAGCACCACAGCAGCAGCAGCTTCCCCAGGGAGGGGAACGACAGCAGCAGCAGCTTCCCCAGGGGGAGAAAGAACTCTGGCAGATCTCCCAGCTGGGAGCAAAGACTTCAAAAGCAGAATGGAGAGATAACGAAATTTTGGGTGAGTCACTGGAAAGATTTCAAAACCCAGAGGTGAAAAGCAGAAATCAATTCCTGCAGACAGGAGCCTACAGCCCGTCCATTGCACATCAGAAAGCCTTTCAGATCCTGTCCTCCCCTGCCAGGGACCCAACCCTGAAGAGAGAGGGGAATCCAGTCTGAGGCATATGCAGCAATGGGGAGATTGGGTTCCCCAGCAGATGGATGGTCAGCAATCTCTGAGCTTGCCACAACTAATAGAGGCCTTGCAACAGCTTGGGGTGGTGCAGAAGCCAGGAGATCAGCAGCTGGTGGGAGAACGACCACAGCAGGGAGATTGGCCACAGCCCCCGAACGTGCAACCCCTGGGATGGCCAGGATGGAGCCAGCAGCAACAGCCACTGTGGGGGCCTAACATCTAGCTTCACCAACATAATTGCACCACTTTTCAGAGCAACCTTCGATGGCGACCCAGAGAAGCTGGTTTTTTTCATCAACCAAGTGCGTTCTCATTTGAATTGCTGGGCCTATCTCTACCCGGACCCAGGGGCCATGGTCGATGTGATTGCGTCCAGCCTAGAGGAAGAAGCATCCGAATGGCTGAACAATTTATATAATGAGCAAGCCCCTGAATTGGAGGACCCTACCTCTTCCTCCTAGGGCTGAGAGAAAGATTTGAGGACCCATCTATTGGTCTTAAAGCAAGAGAACAAATCCACAAAATAAAACAAGCCAGCAGGCCTGCCCTGGAGTACGTGCAGGAATTTCGCAAGATAGCAAGTCGAATAGAGGGGTGGCCTGAACAATCCCTAATCCATCACTTCATCGAAGGATTAGACGATCACCTCTCTCAGGCCTGCATCTATCAAGCAGTACCTGATCAGCTGCAAGAATGGTACCAGGCAGCGGTGAAGCTAGATGTTAAGCTCGCCTGCTATAAGAAGCCACCCCCACCTGAATCTGAGCAGCCGCCAGAGCAACCCGGACAGCAATCACCCCCATGAAAACCTCCAACTACTGCAATGGTTGAGAGACCCAGACCATCTGCAGGCCCATCAAATAAGTGTTTTCGGTGTGCACAAGAGGGACATCAAGCGGCAACCTGTCCAGTCCCCTATCCCCGACTGCAGAGCAGACCGGAACCAGCGACGAGAAGGAAACCTGCCCAGCAGCTAACGAGAGAAAAATCCAACCGGGTCACGCAAGCACCTGTTGCCCAGATTACACCACCCACACAGGAGCACGCCAGGACTCTGAATGGACCTGCCCCTGCTCTACTCTCCTTTGACAGTGACGATGAAGGAGAGAACGACCATATGGTGAGTCGACAAATCCTGCCTTTTTCACTGGCCGCCAAACTTATAATCCCCAAGTCTGGGGCACAAATGGACTTAAACGTGCTAATTGATTCTGGATGCACCCACTGCATTATTAGTCTGCGGTTTGCCATGAAAATGGACATACGGGCAAAACAGCTCTCCAAACCTGTGAGGTTTGAGCAAGCCGATGGCTCCCTGATGGGAGGGACTCTTGTCACACAATTAACTAAGCCCCTACGCCTAGAAATAGGTGAGCACTGGGAGTTTATTCGCTTCCTGGTGGCTACAAAAATGACTGAGGTGGTGATCCTAGGGCTAGCCTGGTTAGACAAACGGAAGCCGTTTATCTGGTGGGAGAAAGGAATGAGAACTGTGAGACTACCTATAAGGCTTAAACCTCCCACTGATTCAACTGACGTTGCGGGACACCTTAGGCCACCCAATGAGCGAGTGCACATGGCTGCCTCACCGCTGCCGAGCGAACCACTCATCCCCAATGAATACCGGGACCTGGCGAAGGCATTTAGTGAAAAAGAATGAGATGCCCTGCCCCCTCACAGACCCAATGACTGCTCCATTGAACTGGTGCCGGGAGCCAAACTCCCATGCCCGAGAATGTATGCTATGTCCCCCCTCGAAATGGAGGAGATGCAGCGATACGTGAACAAAAACCTAGCGAGGGGGTTCATCGAATGGGCCAAATCTACCGTGGAAGCCCCTGTGTTGCTCAAAGAGAAAAAAGATGGATCTCTTTGTCTCTGCATAGACTATAAGGGTCTCAACGCTGTGAGTGTGGAAAATAAATATCCCCTCCCCCTCCTAAAGGACGTATTAACCCATCTGGCTAAGGGGAGTGTCTTCACTAAATTAGACCTGAGAGAGGCATATTACCGGGTGACAATAAA